ATCAAATTCAAATGTGTCTAATGAAACGTCAAACAGAACTGTCAAGGATTCCCACCCTAGAGTGCTTTTATGGTGCTTTTTCCGCCCACCATGCATGAATACTTGGATAGCATTATGCTCCTTCCTTAGTCTTCTTATTCAAAGAACCAAACCAAACTTCTACAGGGTGGCTCTAAAAAGTGTGAGTAGATCGAGATTATTTTTTTTTAAACATCCTGGTATTATATATGTGGAATTTTCGCTTCCTTTCTGATCACTTTACATACCTAATACTAATATATTATTAAATATGTTTTGATAGTTTCAGAAATATTAATTTAGAAAAGAAATCAGTCTTTTTTAAAAAAAAATATTAAAAATACTAGAAATGTCCTAAAATTAAAACTATACTAGAGATATTTACTATAGTTAGTCTGTACTTACTTTGCCATAAATAGCGTAATCTTAAATCATACAGGGTGTTCAAAATTATATGCCGAACTTTCTAAAACATAAAAAGATTTTCTTCGTTTTTTTAAATGTTTTTTTTTTAATAAATATTAATGATAAAAAGTTAGATGATAACAGAACAAGTAAAAAAATTGGTTAAGAACAATAACCATATTAATTACTATGCAAAGCAAAAAAGACAATTGACATAAAAAAATATCTCTATTTCACCTGGATTAATAAAAGTTCCACCAATCCACTCCTATTAATTGAAAATGTTTATGGAGGCCCAGCCGAAAAAGAGGTAAATAAAAGAGTGTTTTTAGGTGCGCACATGCCAGTTTTTAATTTTGCAGCGGAATTTTACAATCTCCCTGGGAAAAAATTCTGCCAGAGAAAATACCTCTCCCTAAATTGCAACAACCAAAAATAGTTGACTCGTTTTGGCCTTCGTTAAGTTTTTAATTACATTATGCAAATGAATTTCTTTTTTTTAATTGGATCAGAATTATTGAAAAATAAACTTTTTGTGGGTTTTTAAAAAACGTACATGTTGGATTTGTCACATACATATATATACTATCGGGCAAAAGTAGAGAAACTTTTCAAATTGTGTTTTTTATCTTAACGCAGGGACTGAGGCCATTTTATGCATTGCTAAAATTAAAGATACTTAAATAGTTCTTATTTAAATGAAATAATCACATGTCTCACGAAAAAAGTCTATTAGGCTGTACTGTGGGGTCGCTCTCAGGTGTCGGGTAAAGCGGGTGTGTGGCCGAAGGCAATATATATTAACGAGATATTATATTTCAGAAATCTACCTAAGGCTTCGCCCGATCCTGTCGTGTTAAGCCACACCCAAAATTCCAAACACACGTGCTTTAATTAAGGCTTGATTAAGGTTTGCAGAGCATTCGCCAAAAAATAGCGAGCAATTTGTTACATATATTATATATCACTGTAATCACAAAACTTCAATCTATTTCCGTATTGTAACGGAATGTTAAATTATGTCTTTATTTTCGAGAAAATTTAGTCCAAACATAAGGAATATTTTGTTGATGTTTGACCATCAAAATCTTAAAAGTAAAGAAGTTTTCTAAAAATGTGCTCCAATACGGATATAGTGTAATCCTTTATCTTTAATTTCCTTCTTCATTTGTGTAAAAATACCTAGCCAGGTTTACATAAAACGTTAAATGCCGAACGCTTATTTTGCTACTTTTTCGGACTAGTGAAATTGACTCTTAAATAACAAACTAACTACAAACGACAAACTTCACGACATAGCTTTGGCATGGAGTCCAATAGTTTTTTTATGGTATCTGGTTCAATAGAAATTCAGGCTTCTTTCAAGTCAAATCTTTCTTATTGCTTGGGCAGGAAAGTCCATAACCCTAATTTGTTCAAACAAAAACCATTCTTGTTAGACTTTCGATTTATGCTTTGGATCATTATCTTGCTGAAATATCCAGGTTAAAAGCAAATTATCATCAGCAAATGGAATCATCATTTTCTTTAAGATGTTCAAATACCATAAATCGATCCATTGTTCCTTCTATTACATGTAGTGGTCCTATGCCATAGCCCGAGAAGCATCCCCAAACCATGCAAGATCCACCATCATGCTTTACAGTGACCTTTAGGTATACTTCGGATCAAATCTTTTCCCTTCTGGGCGATGTATCCACGATATGCCATCGGATCGAAATATATTGAATTTGCTTTTTACATATGCATATCAATTTTTAGCGTTCTTCATATTAGCGAAAACTAGTCCATTATGAATATTATTCTGAGCGTTATTATGGGTTATTTATTTATTTATTGATGTATCTATATAAAAAACCTTATCATCGTTACATGGCTAATTTTTAGTGTGTAGTATCCTTTTCTGTAGCCATTGTGAAATAGTCATGTCTACAAGTGCGATCCCGCGACTTAAAAAAATTTTGACACTAAAAATATTATAAGGTACACGAGTTACAATTGCCAAATAGTTTAAGAAACATGTAAAATTGTTGACAGACATTTTTCTCGTGGCTGAAATGCCGGCAGACAACGCGAAAATGGCATAGAATTTTGACAAAAGAAAATCATCATTTAATTAATTTAAAAAGCCATATGCAAAAGGGCAGACAAAAAAAATCGTTATTGATATAATAAAAAAAAATATATTTATAGTATAATCGTATATGTATATGATTTATCTGTACTTAAGTGGATGAGGCGGCGAGCGTTCCCTGAATGCGGTAGAGTAATATCGCGCTTTTGATAACTGTCTGCAGCTGATTTAGCCACGATCTTTTTGTCTGCCCTTTTGTATACGGCTTTTAAAACAAATAAATATGACATTTCACTAATTATTGGCATGCAAATATGCCATATTTTTTTTCATTCTTCAAATTTCATTTTTTAATAATTTTTAAATTTCATGCCTCTTTCGCGTTGTCTGTCGGCATTTCAGCCACGAGACAAATGTCTGCCAACAATTTTCCACGTTTCTTAATAAGAAATAAAAGCTATTTTCGCCATTATAACCCGTGTATCTTATAATATTTTTAGTGTAAATAATTTCACTCTTTCGATTGGCCGCCCCCGGTTTAAGCCCCGGGATCGCGCTGGCAGACATGACTATTTCATAATGGCTACACAAAATGATACTTCACATAAAAAATTAGCCATGTAACGATGTTAAGGTTTTTTATGTAGCCAGCTCTTGGACTAATTGTACATCTTACAACGCCATAAGTGGTAATAACAAGTAAGAGAGTTGCTATTTAAGCACAAACTAATAATCACAGATTTTAATAAAAACTAACGTAGAAATAACTTGGAAAGTGGTGTAATGTGCTTATCAATCACCCTTACTTCTCTGAATGCAGTCCAGTGTAATAAAGGACCTTTATTGTCACGTTCTCGTTTAAAATAGTCTATCAGGGAAGCTACAAGCTCTTTGCTTCGAATGTTTAAATGGCAGTTTTATTCAACAAACAATTTCAAGAAATGCAATACAAAAACTCGAAATTTTTTTAAAAAAATCTTTGAAAATAGGCAAAAAAAAACGAGAAACACTCAATACAACAACAACACGATATTATACAAAATAATGACTGACATTAAGATAATTGTCAAATAATAAACGACAAACTTGCTGAAAACGGCGCAATGTGACCAACATAGCGATAATAAAATTCGGTTTAAACTAATTTTTGCAGCTTTAATCTACATAAAATATTTGTTACAATCATTTGCTCTATAAAGTAAAATAAAGAGCTGCTCGGTATCTTAAATGATACAACAAATTTAAACATTTTTGCCAAAATTTCATTTAGTCAGGTTTATAGACTTCAATGTCGATATGATTGATGACGTGCATCGGAAAATATTTTGCGATTACAATAGAAGAACTTATTTATAGCAATTTTTAACAAATTGCAGCAAAAATTTTACCTCGAAAATATATTTATACTGCAATTTTTTAAAAATTTCAGTAAATATATTTTCCAGGTTATCTCTTGTGCAAACATAAAAATTTAACGCTTTCCCAGTTAAACCGTTATGGCCGTTGGTATCTTAGCGTCTGTGATTTAGGGCGCATTTTAAAGGGTTTCGCTAAGCATATTTTTTCACGTTAGTTGCGGAAATCCACAGCATTACCGGAATCTAAGCTGTTTTTAAGCTTTAAAAGTTGAGCATTTCAGAGATTATTTAATTTGCCTTTACCTGATTAATAAAAGTTATTTTTAAGTTTCTAGAATTATCTATAAATATGCAATTTAAAAGTTGAGATTTAACCTTTTTTAATCTGCTACTTTATTAAGAAACTACTGCAAAAATATTAAAATAACCTAAGAAAAAAGCATATTGTATAAACATAATTAATGAAAATAAAATAATAACATTAATCCATAATAAATTTTTAAGCCGATTTCTTGCCAAGTAAAAAAGAAATATTTAAATATTAGAAAAACCATTAAAACCCGATTTTTTTTATACAGTGTGGTCCGAACTGTATTCCGGAAAGTTCGACAGCATATTCTGCAGATAAAAATAAGTAAAAAAATTGTGTCCTAAAATGGGGGGGGGGTCTTAATTTCGTTGATACAGTGTTTAGAAGTTTCATATTCATTTCGATTTTTTCAAATAATTTCTGAAGTAACGTGAATATTTGGATGAAAATTGGTGTCTGGGAGTTTTTTGACGTGAGAAATATGATTTTGATGTGGCAATATGACTCCTATTAAAGTCCCTAGATATATAAAGTACCGCAATTGGTTTGTTCAATGTTATTGGCGCCAAAATGGCGGATTTTTGGGGTATTTCTGGGAAAACTGTAGTGGTAGGACTGTTTAAATGTCACATTTGTCTGAATTTGTCATGTCAAATGTTGAGAAGCTGTCAATTTCAGAATAAAAATATTTATCCACATATTTGAAAATAATTATATAGCCACTAAAATGCTACAAATTTATTAGTTAATAATGTATAGGCGTCGATATCTTTAGTGAAGAAATGTGTATTACAAGAAAAGGCCGCCATTTGATGTGTTTTCTAACATCGTCCATATTCAATACACGTTAGGTAGTGGATTGAATTTATTTATGCTCCAGTGAATATTTTTAACAATCTTATTTGTAGTATAACCTATTGCTACATAAAACTTCATTGTAGAACAAGACAAGACCACAATAGATCTGGGAAGGTCGCAGTGGGTCAGGCTGAGATCCACCTCTAGAAATCTAATCTAGAACAAGACAAAGACCTTACTTGCAAACTACCATACATATCTTTTAAAAAGGATGCTAAGTGTAGTGTAAGTGAAATATTTACGTAATCATTCCCTAAAATGTTTAGTGTAGTTTAGTTTTCAACATTTTGCAGTAAGAAGTTTAGATAAATCTACAATATATTATCATCAGACCAAAGGCAGGATAATTATTTAAAAGAAGTTATGTTATGATACATATATAGATTTGGATGACTTCGCTTCAGGTGGTTTTACCAGTCAGGACTAACAGGGATATTAATCAAAACAATGAAAAAAAGCTCAAATAAATTTGATCCTAATAACAAGAATGTTGTTTATGCATATGCTAACTATACATATAGTTATTTTCATGGACTTAAATAGATTAGTTTTTATGTATTTATTGATAGTAATTAATATTTTTTGGTTCATATTGTAATTACTAATAAAAAGTAAACATTATAATGTAAGCATGTAAAGTTATATTTAAAAATTTGGTCTTATACTGTCAGTTATAAATAAAAGTGTGTGATTTAAATTTGATTTTTATACATGACATAAAATTGTTAAGATTCATTTGAAGTTTTACATATTGTCGAGGTAAAATTATGCCTACTTAATTTATGTATAACAATAATTACAGTTATTTCAATGTTAAATTTATAGCAGTATAACTTTTTTATAATAATGATACTTAAACATTATGACACTTGTTGTTTTAAAAATATAACATTAAATTGCAGAGCAAAATATATTTTAATTGAATTATGTGGTATTAACTTGCTTTTATTCAACTAATAATAAATTTGTTGTATAAAAATGACTCCATAACATACAAACCTTAATTATACAGCACACATAAAGAACCCCTATGCGTTTCAAGCTTCTTTCTAAGTTATTTTTAAATTAAGTGCACAATTACATACCTAAAATGCCGAAACTACCTGAAGTAATACTAATTGAAACAATCTTTCTATCAATATATTAATATATTTCAAAAATAGCAGGTATGGGTACCCAGGTATGTATCATATCAATTTAATTATTACATTTATTTGTTTCAACCATGGTTCAAAATTTTCTCGTATAAAAGCCGGCCTTCAAATTTAAGTTTGTAGCTTATTCCTAGATTCATAGTTCCAAAGACTTGCGTTAAATCATGCTTATTTGTCAAAACTAACTACAGCATAACTGGTATAATAGGGAAAGTTTACTTATGGTATAGGTAGCCCGTTCTCATCAACAAACAAAGTTTTTCCAATTGTTTCGACTGAATTAAGTACTAAAATGCCAAATGTTATTCTAACTTTATTTCTTCTTACCTATTAACTTACTTCTGTTGGCGTACTTTGCGCTAAAAGGTAACATAAAATAAATGCTAATACAACTGAAAAACACTTGTGCCGAAACCATTCGTTTATAACCTCTTAACATATATAGGCCTAAAAAATTAAATTTATGAAATTGAATATTAATATACAACCTGATATTACGTTAAAATGAGGGTAAATTGTAGATAATAAACGTAATTCTATTACAATTAATAAATATTTTATTTTACGGCTTGCCTGTCAATGTTGGTCGGCCATATTGGCGCCGGACCGACCAGCTGCTTAAAAAGCCGAAACAGCGAAATGTTGGCCTCCTTTTTAAATTTGCCGCTAGTTTTGGCGCCAATATGGCGGTAATTGCGGTACTTTATATATCTAGGGACTTTAACTCCTATTTGTAAGGGGCGCCACCTACATGTGTTTTGACTGTTTTGAAGAGTAACAAATAACTTTTCGTAGGTACCCACTGAGTGAAAAAATATACATTTCCGTGATTTTTTACGTAAAAAATGTCTCATGGTAAACATCGCTACGAGCAACCGTTCTCAAGATATTTAGAATGGAAATAGTCAATATAGTCTGTCCAACGAGAAGATCCTTGACAGTGATAGATGTGTCTGTCATTTTAATTTCAAAGTAGTTTATTTTATTTTACAAAGAAATAAGTTGGTACAACTGAAACGCATAGCAGGAAATATTTAAAATTTGATTGAGAAGATGACAAGTGATTACTTCAAAATATTGTGAAAAAAACTGTATAAAACTGAAAAAATGTTATCGAGTTATTTTATTTAATAAAAACGGTATGTGTTAATACAACACAAACAAGAACAAGACACTACATACCAAAAAAATATAAAAAAGAACTATTATTTACTTTCAAGCTTTATGAAACTACCCGCATTTATGATTATATTTATCAATATAACTTATGTACAAATACAAATTTGGAAATAAATAAAACAACATAGGTAAATAAAACAAACTATTTTATTAATAATAACACCTACCAAATTTTATACCTTAAAGGTTGATTAATTAACTTTAATCTCAATTTTTTTAAACCAGTACCTTTTGACATTATTTTTCTGCAGTACTAAAATCCATTATTTACCTATCGTGTGATGTCGATATTTTACAGCTACTCCAGTTTTTAGTATGTGTTTAGTTTGATCCTTCTTTACAGAGATGCACTTATCTACGACGAAATGGTATACAAACTTTATTGGTGTATAAGACTTTCTGCCTGGGCAGCGAATATTAACCATAAACTGTGCTCTGGGTCTACAGTTAATTTTCACTCGATTTTTCCTCCACTTGACTTCAAAAGACACAAAACACACGTAATAATACGAATCAAAATGCATTATCTTCCAAAACGCAGGGTATTGAACAAAAGTTGACACAAAATTATAACCTATAATTTGGCAAGACTTTGACAAGCGTCAAAAATGACAAAAATCTAAAGGCGAGTTCATACGCATCGGCGTCCGTTTGTCGTTCATCGTTCCGTCAAACCAATAAAATTGAAATACGATCTGTCATTTTTAAATAAACCAATAAAACTGGTTAAAAACAACAAGACACGACGTATGACGGATTTATATTTAAACCCATCCATAGATAACTTAAAAATTATTAGAAACTTTTTTTAGTAAAATAAATAGATTGGTATGGGACGTCATCTGCTTTTCTTCTGTCATCGTCTGTCGAAATCTTACCTGAGAAAAAAAACAGAGTATACATGTCATTATTGACAAAAAATAAGCATAGTATGTTAAGTAGATAGTTATTTGACTGAAATGATAAAGTTGGGAACTTTTTATTTTTTTAAATTAATCATAAATATTTCTTGGAAAAAATGATGATAAAACCGTTTCTGTTGAACTTTTGACACAAAAACATATCAAATTTATGATTTTAGTCTAATAAGTATTTAGTAAACATATGTTTAACTTATTTCAATGATGACAATAATATTGATAATTTCGATTCCAAATATCTCGAGAACCACTACTCTATTTTTACCAAGAGACCTTTTTTAAGTAAAAAATGTCGCAAATGTATATTTTTTACTCAGTAGTTTTATACGGGTACGGATGAAAAGTTATTACTCTTCATATCAGTTAAAAAATATGCAGATGGCGCAACAACTCCCAGACACCAATTTTCATCCAAATATTGACGTTAGAAGAAATTAATTGAAAAAACTCGAAATAAATATGAAACTTCTACACACAGTATCAACGAAACTAAGCATTTTAGGACATATATTTATAAATAATAATAGCTTTCGTATATAGCGTTTAACGCCTTGGGAATAGCAAGGTACAGCTTGCCATGCTAGAGCCGTTCGGCATACAAGGAAGGTAATGTGGCTAGCACTACGCTTCAACCGTCTATTATTACCTCAGGATTGTGAATCCCAAGTACTCATTTAAGGCTGAGTCGACCTCGGGACCCAAAGTATTTTTATTTTAATAAAAATGCCGGGTGTAGGAATCGAACCCACGCCACACCTTGAGATTGGTAGACGAGAGCTTGTACCTCTATGCCACCGGACATCTACATACATTTATACGAACTTTTATACATTACAATTTGGACCACTCTGTAGAAAAAAAAACATGAATGAATACCACGAACTAAATAAACATTTCCTTTCTTTGCTAGGAAAAAAAAAGTATCAACAATAAGCGTAACTGGATCAATGAAGCTGAAGCCCAATAAATGCAGAATATTTAATGGCAATTTAAATTTTTAACGAAACAAAAAAATTAAAATAGCATTTCATTAATTTCAATCAGAGAGTGTTGTTCTTTTTGTGTGAAATCTCGTCATTAGTAAAAATGTCCGATAAAAGTAAATGAGCTTAAATAAGATTGTCCTCTATGAGGCGCTTAAGGGTCTGTAGCTTGGTTAGCCGGACATAAATGTGAGGGTTGAATACAATTAAAGAAATATCCTCGGAAATATCCAGTTTAATCTTCCATTCAGAAATAATCTTGGTCGGCATTAAGGTAATATCGGCCAGGATTACGTATCACAAGTCAGGTATATTTCTAATTATGACCAAAAACGTTAAAAACGTTAAACAAATTAGGCAAAGTAAATAAAGTCCTCCTACTCTGGGTGCTTGCTCACCAAGGGATAGAAGGCAAGGAAAAAGCAAATGATCTAGCTAGGAAAGGAGCGAACACTCCACTAACTGGACCAGAACCGTTCTGTTTACCAAACGGGAACCAACTGAAAGGGGAACTGAAAAATCTGGAAGACTCCATCCGTAACTTGGAATGGGTGTCCTCCAACGGTCTAAGACACTCGAAAAAGTTCCTCAGAACTTACGACCGAGAAAAATCAAAGGTTTTCCTTGATTAAATTAAAAACAATCTTTGGATTGTCACGGGGTTTCTAACAGGACACTGTCTCCTCAGAACACCTCAGTAGGCTGGAGCTGAGAAACAACAGCGAATGCAGATTCTGTGGGGAAAATGGGGAAACACCAGAACATCTTATCACTGAGTGCGCCGAGACGACGACCATTCGTGCCATGAACTTTGGTACGACTGATGTCGAGGATGGAGAGCTGGCCTCTGTGAAGCCGTCTCAGATACTGGCTTTTGTTAAAGCCCTGAGACTGTACGATGAGTTATAACTCGTTATAACTCAAGAAAGGGGAACTCACAATAGATCTGTAAGGTCGCGGTGATTAACTCCCCTCCTAAATATTCTACATTCTACCAAAAACGTTGTATAGTATTTTAAATAAAATTAATTTTAGTTTGTTGTTCATTTAGAAGGTAACACCATTGATTGAAGAAATGAGAATATGCGCAACTTTATGGGCGATTTCGTGGCACAAAACATGTCCGAGATGTAGCTGGCGTTACCGTCAGTCTGTCCGAGATTTCTGAGATTTAATTTAGCTCTGCGCCGCTGCGTGCTATTAGTCGTTTACAGCGCAGCGGATAAAGAATTCTGTACCGTAGTTCTGCTTTCAGTCGAAAGAGTGAGTGGTTGTGGGACACATCGTTGCCAGAACTACCGATTAATCCGTAGATTTAAGGATTTTGCCTACAGTACGTTAATAATACGAATTTTCTAGCATTAAACAATTTAATATAATATTATATGACGAAACAAAGAACGGCGTCAGAGGTGGCTTGGAAATGAAGATCGGTGTTATTTTGTTATAGTAAAATATTATGGTAAATGTCAATAATGGTCATTTCCAAGCCAACTAAATGACTTTTTTCGATAAGACGAAATATTCAGTACTGTAAAAGCATTTTAATTTTTGTTTTTTATTCTAAGTTTAACACGAATAAATTTTGAATATATAAACGCGGATTTTTTATCCAAA